GTAATTTTTCTCAAAAAAGAATAGTCTGCTGATGAAATCTGCTGTAAAGTTACACCATACAGTGACTTTTCGTAAATTCAGTGGGATTGTTCGTATGCCTAAATTTGAGAACTGTAAGGGTTAACAGTCCTATTCAGGCAAAAATTAGCCTCATCTTCCCATAGAATTCTTCACGGTCAAGCATCATTCACCTCTACCCGGCAAGAAATGTCAGAGAAAATGCCACATGTTAATTATTATTAACTATAAATTAGTCGCACAGCACTCTGAAACTACGAAATATATATGAAATGGAACATATTGTCCAAAGTAACGTGATTACTCTGAAGAATCGCTTTCGACTATCGGAAATATTTAATGTTACATATATATGCATATATTTAATAAAAGGGAGCTAAATGGTCTGTACTAATTATCTTGATTTCACTGCAAAATGTCATAAAAAACTAAGCGCTTAAAATTTTATAACAAAAATGAATACAAAATAAAGTTGGATGAAAATTTTTGTTACAATTCTAAGTTATATTTATTATATTTTAAAACTAAACGGTTACATAGTTTCGTATTCTTGTCTGACATGAACTCACGAGTTCTAGAAATACTGTAGAGTAATTATCTTCGTGTCTTTAACCAGTAGGCAAACAAAGCCAGATGAAGAGTGTAGCGCTATTATTCAATAACAAACAATTAACAGTCGACCCTACTTGGGTTTACATAAGCCAACACTTCTGGCTTAACTTAAACAGGTAATGTTCAACTTGTAAGAATTATGTTAATTTTATTATTAGCAGTTAAATTTTGAGTTAAACTTCCTTTACTACCGATTCTTAATTTCAACTTACTACTTCCGGCCAGAACGTAGTTTTAGAATCACGTCTGAATGCTAATGAGCAAGAGCGGTATATAACCTCGAAGTTCTGTCTTAGTGAGAGAGATATCAGATATTCTGACTGCACGCGTCTGCCTTTTTAGGCTACTCTCTCGTAAGCTTCACTTTCAACGGCAACTTAGAATTACACAGTGAGGAATCCTACAAACTTAAAATGTAATTAGACTAGCCTAACGGTTCACAAAATAGAGTAAAGGAGCAGGAAGGCTGTGGCTCGTAGAAACCCACAAGACAAGCCTTATGGCTAGAAGAATTCAACGCTACAGAATCAAATCGCTCATAAGTAACGGTAACAACGTAGGCTCAATCAGGAAGAACATGCTCTAAAATCAATTGTGAAAATTTCACTTAAATAGCACTTCTTTCTTAATTTGAATAAACGCGCGCTATCTAATTTACATTCTGGCATGAAAAGTATGGGTGAAAAGGAGAGGGATAGAAAAGTTGGTTTAACTCAAAATTAACTATTAGTCAAAATTAATAAATAAATCCTCACAGAATTTTATATTGCAAATTACGCTACAGTGAAGTACAAGCTAATAATGCAGAGCTGAATTTTTTCAGATGCAATGATTGGGCTATGATTCACCTATGAATCACCTGGGCTATGAATGAATTCACCTAATCAGATGCAATGATTCACCTATGAAACTATACGCAGAATAAAGCTACGTAAATTATTTTATGATATAAAAAGAAAAATGTGTACTTAACTCATATGCCCAAACGTACTACAATTTAAACTGGGAATATAGGTAGGAAAAATAATTTGATTCTACTGCATTTCCTGCATTGGACGTTATAATTTTCGAAATGAGCAAGTGAAAAATGCTTGTCTACTGCAGCGGAACAACAAACAAAATAAACTGTGTTACTTTCTATGTGTTTAAAGGGTATTATAATACCTTCAAAACGCCGATTCATTCCAAAGAAGCTATTAAGATGTTTCATTGAGCATGTAGTTAGGGTTTCAGTTTTCACAAATTAGGAAAATTGCATTTTAAAAGGTGCTGGTAACATGCACGGTTTAAGGTAATGTGTGGTTGATGACACATTTCAAAATAATCATACTGTAGCTCAAATCATGCATGAATTGCTACACTATTTAACCAGCTATAAATCATTACATCAAGCAGCTCACGTAACACAAGCATTAAGAAAATATGTCTGTTTGCGAAAGTAAAATTTTGATTTAAAAAATATTTTTAGAGTAAAAAATGTGTAACTCAATGAACTAATGTGAAACTCAGATTCTTGATTTTTTCTGAGTTAATCTTTAGCAAAGTAAAAATGTATAGCATACAGAACTCCCAATGGGACAGTGTACCTGCCATTTAGGACTATAAGATAATTAATTTAATTAGATTTTTTAGGTTTTAAACAGTTATTTACAGACTTCTGAAGGAAAAAATACATTTTATATAAATAGCACCATTGAAATAATCCTAAGTGGGAGAATATATTATAATACTAACAAGTTACTTAATGTGTGACAAGAATATTAAAAGTAGCCTAACATGAACAACCATCTTAGTACGTTTGAAAATGTTACGTTTTATAAATTGTACATGTTTTATAAATTGTACATCTTATGCACATGGATAACTTTACATCTAGTGATTTTTGATTACACTATCAATTTATTTCTGTATTCCTGATTTTCCAAGTATTCAAAACGTTCTTTTTGAATTAACAGCAGATTTTCATTCCTGACTCAATTTCAAAAATCTTTATAAATATGTTTCAAAATCTTTTCTTTTTACAACTGATATAAAATTTCACATTCGATTCCAAAAGAACTTTCATCAGTAACATAACGCGAGTTGAAAAATTATGTATAAGGATTTTATTAAGATAAACTTCGGAAAGAAAACTTTCTTAAATTTTTTTTTTACATAAAGTACTTTTGAATTATATCTGAGAAACATTTTACAAGTTGTTCTATGTTTTACAACTGTTCTATCGCACTATATTTTGCTTAATAATAAAGTTTTCATCAAGTTAGTTCGATGATGTTTAAAAGTCGTGTTAGAATTTCTTGAAAATCTTTTCCTTGGATATGAAGAAAACGGAAACAAAAGTTAGTATCTAAATGAAATTTTTCCCTCAAAGAGCATTCAATCATATGCAAACAAAAGTATCAAAATCGTAAAAAACAACCTTATATTTAGCGTAGGTATAATGAAACACTCAATCGATTTCGAGGGCAGCTAAAGGTCCCTCCTCATCAGGAGAAAGAAATACATAGAAAGAAGAAAATAGGAATCACAGAAACACGTGGTGCTTATCAGCACTGCACGTGGTTATAACTAGATTTTTAATCAGAGTTGCACTGGCCGCCTACTTTTACTGAGCCAGGCTGTCTGATCAAGCATAAAGAAATATTAGCGAAGTTAAAATAGGGAGCGAGGGGCAAATGCACATTACGCTCAAAATCTGAACTTCAAATAATGGAAAGCAACCACTGAACGGATTTTTATACCTCTGGTAGTACCAAGTGCGAGGAGGTAACGCCATCTATCGGCAAAAATAATTGAATTAAGACAGTAGAATTTTAAAGGCATTAGGAAGGACTGGATTGGACTTCAAATCATTAACTAAACTTCATCCAAAAGGCTTCTTCCATAGGCGAATTGGATTTTCTTGAGGCTTTTCACATTCACAAAGATTTAGAAAGTTTAGTTAATGATTTGAAGTCCAATCCAGTCCTTCCTAATGCCTTTAAAATTCTACTGTCTTAATTCAATTATTTTTGCCGATAGATGGCGTTACCTCCTCGCACTTGGTACTACCAGAGGGTATAAAAATCCGTTCAGTGGTTGCTTTCCATTATTTGAAGTTCAGGTTTTGAGCGTAATGTGCATTTGCCCCTCGCTCCCTATTTTAACTTCGCTAATATTTCTTTATGCTTGATCAGACAGCCTGGCTCAGTAAAAGTAGGCGGCCAGTGCAACTCTGATTAAAAATCTAGTTATAACCACGTGCAGTGCTGATAAGCACCACGTGTTTCTGTGATTCCTATTTTCTTCTTTCTATGTATTTCTTCTCCTGATGAGGAGGGACCTTTAGCTGCCCTCGAAATCGATTGAGTGTTTCATTATACCTACGCTAAATATAAGGTTGTTTTTTACGATTTTGATTGTCACATTAGCGTGTTTCTCTTCTAGTCTAAACAAAAGTATAATTTTTATAAAATTAAATTTTATTTTGTGTGAGAAGATAATGACCGATTTCAGGATTTCTCTTTTAGAATTTGTTTGTTTTCATATCTTTATTGCCGATTTAAAGATAGAGATAGAGTTCACGTGTAACAATAAGTTTGCATTTTAAATAAGCGACGAATAAGAAATGCTTTTTTTATTTAGTTTTTAATTATTTGCTTTTATCTTTGACATTTTACGTTTTGCAGCTTTGATTATTCTTTTCTATTAAAAGGAATGAAATATAACGATGATTGAATAGTGGCTCAGGATAATTAAGCAGTGAATTGTAGCAATGCAATCTGGCTAAAATTATTAAGCATGTAAATAATTTTTCTTTTCGTTTTGGAAGCCCACCCAAAAAATTTTTCATTTCGGCAAAAAGTCTATCTTTCATTTCTACACTTGAAGCAATAAAATTCTTAAACTCAGTTAGGAAAAAATGTAAAATTTTATGCTTAAATAATTAGAGAAAAATAAAAATTGACACAATTTTTCAGCTGATTAAATGTTTAAGCAAAATATTACATAGGAAATTTAAAAACATCTGCATTTAACTTATTGCGAAGACAATTTTTAAAGAATATAATAAATATGCGAATTATGCGTATAAAATGCTAAACATTTATTTTTAAATAGCTGTAATTTCTTAAATCTATTTAAATAGTACATAAAATGTATTTAAATAAAGTATACACAAAATTTAACTACTCACTAACTTAATGATTATAATACTATTTCGAAATTAAATTTCCAAAGTAAAAAGAAAATTTTCTCATTTCCTTGCACGTAATTTAAATTTGAATGAATTCAAACAATTATTTAATACTCAAATTTAAGCTAGCTTATATTAAATTGAATATTGTGGAAGCTGAATATTTCATTCAAAAGGATAATGCTTAAAAACGTACTTACTTATCTCGAATTTTCTTTCATCCATGTGTTGATTCCATTATGACTCCAGCTGGATTCTGATTCGCTGTTCCAGGTTCGTTAGTAATGATTTTTGCTCGGAAACCTAAGTGATCAGCGATGTAGTGAACTATACGATGGATTCCATGCTCATCCACAAAACCATAGCTTCCAGTTACTCTTCCAGCTCCATTACTGCTTTCGTGCCTGTGCTGTTCGCCATGAGCATTCTTCATAGAATATCCGAAACTGTATGGTTGGGCCTCAAATGGCTATAAGATACGTAATTGGAATTCAAAATTGCATAGTTTTGTATTCATATTTAAATAGATGTTTATTTACGTTGAATATGCTATTTACGAGCAGAATTACCCTTGAAGTGGCTAAGGGTTTCTCGTAATCAAAATAATCTAAGACTCTTTTATTATCTTTCTTTCGTATATGTTAAAATTATATTCCGAAGATAGTTTTACAATGAAGTAAATCTGTATATTGTCACTTGTATTTATAATTACTCCTCGAAGGTAGTCGCAAATGATTTCATGGCTGAATGGTTCGAAACTTTCTTTGTAGAAATATGTATTTAATGCTGTTATTTTTATGATATACGTGAACTTGTATATCTCTGTATTGCTGTGTATACTGAAATAAGTTTCTACTACTAGTGATTTTTTTTACTTTAAAAATTAAAATTTTATGCAATTCGAAGTAACCTACTTAAAAGCTTACTACCATTCTAGAATTATAAATTCATAAAACAACAACTGACAAATTCTGTTTCTTAACAAGTTAGTGTTATTTAAAAACGTTTCAAGTTGAGATTATATAAAAGAACAGGATCTTTTTATGCCATTCAAATAGTGTCTTCATTCACATTTAATTTTACCCATGGTCGTTTCAGTGAGCTATTTTGTACGCTTGTTTACAAGGATCCCAACACTGAGTTTCTTTCAAGCAAAAGATTATAGAGTGCTTTTGAAAACATTGCAGGAATAACTACCAACACGAAGGAGCTTAAAATAGCCTTTGATGAATATAATTTTTGTATGTCACACACAACACTATTCTTATGCGTTTTGGATTGAAGCTATTACAACTTCATAAATTTTGTAAATATTAGTTGTGTGAAATTATGATTGCCCTTAAATGTGGCTTATTTTAAAATATGCATGCAGTTTTAAAATGACATTAATATTCGCCTGCTTACCCCTTCGAACTGCTCTGCTTCTTCAAATCCATATTCCGCTGAAGCCAGTGCAGCTAATGAGGCGAGAAGCAACACCTGAAAAGAAACAGAAATTGAAGAGTTTCATGAAATTGGACATGTTGTTTGTACGTAACACATTGTATCATTGAAAAAAGGCAAAATTTGTTTTATACTGTGTTAACAAATAAATATTAATTTGACAGTGTTTTATTTACCTGAGAGAAGTGTTCACTATGGTAATCACCGTTCTGCTTATACACTGACAGAAGTATAATGCAGCAAACAATATTATTTTTATATTCTGTTGAAAGATTCTTCCTTGACCTAAATGTACTCCTGCCGTCTATTCTCTTAGGCAGAATGTGTTTGAAATTTCAGTTCGGAAATCATCCATTACAGAATTTCTCAAGTGTGAAACTGATGGCACTGGAGGACATGAAGTTACATATTTACTGCAAGTGATAGGTAACAGTAATAATCGCTTCAAGTATGGCGAATATAGAGGGTTTCCGATCATTTGAGTGCTAAGATCTTCGTTAACTAGTTAGCTAAATAAGTCACTGTACGCTAATGGAATCTGATGTAAAATGCCTTACATCAACCGATTACTCGCCGCAGGGGCAACAGCTATTTTACTAACAACCTTTTAAATTAACATTTCAATATCTTCGTACAGTATTCCCTCTACGATTGATATTAAAAGCCAAAAGCCTTCTAAGGTTTATCCTAAGTTTTAAACAGTTATATTTAATTAAAGCTACTTTCCTATCCCTCTTAATTTCAGTTTACAATTTCCTGTCAGAATGTGTGTTTAGAATCGCGGTTAATGCAAATGAGTAAGAGCGGTATTTAAAGTCGAAGTTCCACTGACTTCGTTAGAGAGCCAGAGATTCTGGCTAGGGCGCGTTTGCCTTGTGGCTACACTCTCTTTAAGCTATTGCTACGCTAGTCCGTATTTCAGACCCTTGGTAGCTTCGCCAGTTTAGTTGATATTTAGGGGCCAACTACTTAAAATTTTGATAGCTTCGGCTATATCCTTTTAGTTAAGCATTAGTTAAGTTTTATTTTTATTATTTAAGTTCAAGCCCAAATGGAGGCTTTGTTGTACGCTCTGAGAATGGAGCCAACTGTTTAGTCCTCATTTTGAGAAATAAAGGTAATTGACCCTTCTTAAGTTTACGTCTCTGTTCTTGAACTAAAGGGATTATTAGCTTACCAGTTCACGAGGTTCCTGCACACTTAATTGTTACAAAAAAGTTGGAACTCCACAGCCGTTTACGAAAAGGTTTGGCTTTACACATAGGTGACATAGGCAGCCACCTAGAGTGCAAATTTACGGAGGGCATCAGCAATTTCCTCTAATGAGCGACAATATTTTTGTAGATCAATAACGATAAAATTTTGTATTGCATCGTTACGCTTGCTTCCAAAACCGAATGCTGAAACTATTTATTTTCTTTATAAATTAATTGTTTCTCGCATTTTATCTTTATACATTTACCTATGTAAATTTAGCTTTAAAACGAGCGTGTTATTCGCTTCACTTGGGATTGTTTTTAATTTGAAGATGAAATTATCATTTTTCCATCTAGAAATCGTATCTGTGCTTTTAGTTTTAATTTGCATCTATGCTATTACAGTTATTTTGCTTTGTAGTTTAACCGCATTCAAAACGACTAGTTTCCATGAACGCGTCAATCTCCTTGGGCAGATAACCTTAATGTGCTTTGCTATCACATAATAAATTAAATCATGTCCTAAAACACTGCGACAAAAGGCATACCCCTTCAGTTATAAACGTTCCGACGAAGCTTTATTTGTTCCAGTAAAACAATTTCCCCAAATACCTTCAATCCAGTTATAGATTAGGAATTTTCTTCTTCGGTGAAGCAACTATTTGAGCAGCTCAATGTAATGAACGTATACTATACACTCACTTCTTAACGGTCTTGAAAAATGAACAGATGCTTATTGGTGGAAAATCTTGCCTTATGGTTTAATACAAACGACAATTCAAGGTACAATAAGTAGCAGTCGGTCTGATATTTACACTATAGGAGTGAGCGCGCTCTTTACATTCACATGTACATTTGTTTCAACGATTACAGTAATAGTTAAAGTACAGAGGAGTTTTTACAAACTGAAATTGATAAAAACGTAATTGGCAGTCATGTTTAAATTAAGAAAACCTGAATTTATTGCATTTCTGTCGAAATAAAACAATATTGCTTAAAATATTACAGTACAATAATATCATCGAAGACTTCAGCTTACGAATAGGACGTAGACTTCATTTGTAACAAGTAAAAAATGTTGAGAGTTTTTCATTAATTAACTAAAGGTATATTTTAGTTTGAGATACTAATGTGTTTAATTGGTGCATAGTGTTAACACACTGCTTGCCTAAAGCATCGAAGAGGCTGCAGAAGGGCTGCTCAGGCTCATGAAGTATAAACTTTACTCTCGTGATGATTCACGATTACCTAGGACTACTCAGTACCTCGGCACTGGACAGAAACATTTTTAAAGACTTCTTACAGTTAATGTTTAGTCAAATGAACTTTTAGTTTGTTCTGTTCTTAACTTTAATCCAAAATCACTATGGATTACTGAAAACATGCATGAGATCCACTCCTTTCGTAACGTCACGTCGTAACGTAATTGTGTATGCAATTAAGAAAGAGAGCTGTGCTATTTTTAAACAGTTTTATTACTGATATATCATTGCTGTTTTTTGAATAAACTTTAGCATACAAATATTTCGGAACCTATTTACGTTTATCATTACCTAGTGATATGCCAACATTTTAGACGTAGAACACTATACACATTGACTGAGTAACCTTTATAGAGCAGAAACTAAGAAACAGAGTGGTTAAATTCGTTGAATACTGTCAACACGGATTCGAACGTAGAGGAACGGGCTAGGTGCATAGTTGGCTTTTGTGGTTTTATCCATGTGTAACGTGAACATGCTGGAGTTTCCTTAGAAAGATCTTCTCGAAGTCATCCCTTCTCCAAGGTCTCTTGTAAAATATATTTGCATATTTTAGTATATTGCATAAATGCTGATAATTAACGAAGAGTGAAAACTGATGAAATTTAACAAAACTGTACAAACGCAGTTATTTCAGTCTGTTACTGCTATATAATAGATTTGTTTCTTTCAGTTTTACAAAATATTAAGATCTTATTATCTGGGATGCGCATAATAGGCTATAATAGGCTAATGGAGATAGCGGAGCTCGATCTCTGGCGTGGAACAGCACAGCTTAACAACAAATTTACGACGTGGAACAACGTACGGAAAGATGGCTAGTAAGCGGGAATAATATCTGGTGATTTATATCATGACGGTCTGGTATTTTTCTTACTTTTATCTCTACATCTCTTCCCTTACGCAGATAGGCCTCACTCATGTTTTTTTTTATCTTAATCTAATAACCTAGCCAAGGAGTATGGTTTTCAGAGAACTCTTTTTTGGAAGGTGACGAATACAATTAAAACAAATTTCATTTATGCTTCTAAAAACGGAATATGGATTAGAAAGAAGTTCCTTGTTAGCCGAATTCCAAATGTAAAATATTAATGTTCTTCATGGGTAATTTCTAATCATATTACTTAATGTCTTATTCCATAACAAACATACACACCTGAACCCCTTTAGAGCGTCTTAATAAAGCGCCCCTATAAAGCGCCAATTTAAGAATGATTTATGCCGGACATCACTTGGTTTTTTTTTAAAAAACTAAAGCTGTTTCATTGTTTCGAAAACTATAAAAAAATATTTTTGTTTTAAAAAAATCAGTGAAGATTATATTTGGACAGATTTTCAAGCTCAGCATAGCCTTTGGAATAAAGACAGTAATCTGCATGAAAGAGAAGTAGTTCTATGCAAAATGTGAAACTAGGCGAAAACCCAACTTTGACTGGCTTACGTTATAAACAAACCTTCGTTCATTTCGAGAGAGGTTGACATATGTCCTCTCTCGAAATGACATATGTCTTAAGAAGCAAGAATGTTTGAAAACTACAATTTGTTTGTTTATATTCCGGCTGAAATCAAACAACCTATGCATTACATTATTACATTATTTTTACTGAAGCATTATAACAAAGGTTACTGCTTATTCAGAGCTACAAGACATTCTTCTTTCAGTGGATGTTTCAGTGGATTCTTCTTTCAGTGGATGCTTACCCAGCTCTGTACGGAGCATTTAAAATCCCACGCGATAAAGGACAAATGAATGATGACGTTGAAGACGCAGATAAAATAAGGAAAAGTATTTGTTTAAAAACACATCGAACCCAGGGAAACAATTAATTATAAGAAACCATTACGTATCAAGACGAATAGACTCTGAATACAAATAAAATTTTTGATTTCCATTTTATGAATGTAATAGATATCCGCATTAGAAATAACCATTCAAGAAAAACGAAATCAATCCTAGCGAAAACAAAGAAAGAAAGATTTATTATTTTTTATGACGTATGCAGGTTTTAGCATAATGTTTTCATAGCATAATTAGATTGCATTTTATGCAAGAAAAATCATGAAAATTGCATGCAGGCCAATCAAGAACATAACCCGAGGCAAATTATTAGTATTCTGGGGTTTCACATACTCTGCCATTAGTGGTCTTTTCTTAATACAGGTTTAAATGTTGGAATGCAAAATCGGCTAAATATATATCGCTCAAATGTCAAGTGATTATTCATAGAATTAAATTAAAATGCTTTTAATTCGTCATTTTAGAAACTTATAACTGCGTGACGAATTTTTGAAAAATGCATTTATCGAGCAATGAGAAACAGTAATAATTAATATGCCAGTAGTATTTAGAACAACAAGTTTCAAACTACTGCGTAAATTTGATTTGTGGTTTCCTATTTAAGGAATTAATCGCAGTTGAAAAGAAAATACGATCATCTTACATTAGGTTAAACTAAATAGAAATAAAACTTCAAAAAAAAAAAAAAAACCTAATTTTTTCTTGACTGCGTATATTGTCAGTGCAGAAACATATAAATCAGATAAAAGTATCAAATTTTATCTTACAATTCTACAGTTGTAAATTTCTTATTTATTACAATTTTCTATTAAAAATGTCATAAATTAAGATAAAACGAAAAATTTAAGATATTCCTAATGATGAGAAAATCCTATAGCTTTGATTTTTCTCGAAGACTGAAGTGAAAGTTATTCTTACCTTGCACAGCATTTTTTTCCAATAAAATAATCCCCTTGCAGAAGTTGTTTTTCCTTTCGGTTCACCTATATTAAGAATATCTGAAAGGAAATTTCTCTTATATACAATAAGTGGAAAAACAAGTTGACCATGAATTTGAAAGATATATCGGAATAACACATTTTTCTGGTTCCCACCCTTTCTGCGAAATTGTAAATACATCTAAAAATGGGTTAAAGTCGATAAATTTCGACCTTACAGTCTGAAAATCATTATGAAATACCTTTTCGGAAATTTACTGAGAAAATATTTGAAATCAAGATGGTGTTACGGTTCGTTGAATAGTAGCAAGTGCAGCAATTTTTAACTCTCGAAAACATGTTTAATGGTAAAGTCATTCTTACTTTCCAAAACAACTGTTCAGATGGTCATATGTACGGCACTTCCAGGTAGAAACATAAAGGATGAATAGCAGTTGCCATTCACAGCTTAAAAAATAGGTGCGAAGTCATTTGTGATATGCAGTATCATTTGTAGTTATGCGGCTATTTGTTTAGTTAGAGCATATCGTGGAAAGTTTCAGAAAACAAATTGCGTTAGCCATTATGCACTGATAACTTGAACTTACAAGATTTGAATTGCTAGGAAATGTATCACACAGCTTTTATGTTTGTGTCCAAATTTAAGTAACAAATATATAAATAATGAAGTAAAGTGTAGTATTGAATGTATGATGATTACAGTAAGATATAAATTACAGTTTTAAGTAATATTTGAACAAATTGTTTGAATTGTTTTTCCAATATCTAGTTAAATAATATAATAATGATAAGCAGATACAAAGTTTTTTCCAGTCATAAAATAAAAACAGAAAGTTATTCCAGCCGTGGAAAGAAAAAGAATTAGAATAAAAATCGCAGAGCTACTATAATGAACTAATGTGTTTTCTATGATTCTTATGCATACCCCATACGAGTCTCTATTAATCACATGATGAGAAATGTCTCTGAAGGGCAGTTCCAGTTTCTCAGTAAGTATAAGTTCGAGTTATTGAGCCAAAAAAATGTGGAATAGTTTTATATCTTCTATAATTATACGTGGTAGGTTTGTTGGTAAAAAATTGGAGTGTGTTTGTGGGATAATGACAGCGGATGATATAACCTGAAACTAACTGCACATTAGTCAGAATTTTTTGTTGAGATTAGACATTGTCATCCATTATGAAGTAATTCTACTCTCATCATTTTAGCTCTCATCTTCGTATCGGGGAGCAGTTCAACCTGGCAATACTCATCTGGCAATAAAATATTGGGAATATGGATATTGATGCGAGTCAGAAATATCACTTCCCTGGTATTAGAAATTCATTAATTTGGTATCTTGTCACTTGCCCTCTTCGCTTGAAGCAGAATTTAAATTCTTTCGTTAATAAACGCAACATATCAGAAAATTCTAATTTCATTATTCAGTTCAAATTCCAAATTACTTTTATCGTGAATGACTAAGAAAGTGTATATAAGTGACTAAGGAAGATATAAGATATATATCTTCATGTCGATTACTGGTAATCATATTTGTATTAAGACTGGAAAAGTTAATTTATAGCGAGTGAAAAGCGTTAATGTTCCATTGGTTTGCTTACATATACATCTAAAGGTTTACCTTAGAAATTATACACATAGATTGGCATTTTCGCTTGAAATTGCTTAAATACTAGCACGCAAACTCAAGCTCAAGTTAAAAATCTAACATAAACTTTACCAGCCAAGACTTGTACAATAATTCAACTAAAAATAGAAGTAAACATTCTTTTTGATGCATTTTTGATGTGCTAAGCTGTGATTACAACTACAAAAATCATCACAAATCTGCAACGCACTTTGGAACGGCAATGGAAACTAGCTAACCTTCAGATATTTACAGAGCTTCTAATACTTATAAAGTTGCATTAAGCCAAATCTTTTGTAGGTGGTAATTCATTTTCTTCACCAGTTTCAGCAGCAAGATGGCAGAACTCCGTAATGATTTCCACTGAGTTCACGGATAGGATTACACCCTGGTTTTAAATTACTCCGCTAGCCTTAAAAGTTGTACAAGCAGCTAGTCTGTGCAAGTATCGTGACGACACAAGAAGCATAGGAAAGAAAAAACATATAAAGGTAACAGTGGCGTAGCTAAGATTCCAGCGCCCGGGGACAACTGAAGAATTTGCGCCCCTTTCTGTGTACCAAGAATGGAAAAAATTTCATTCAAAAATTTCATAGCATCAATTTGGCGCCGCCTGGATGCTGCGCACGGGGACATATGTCCCCCCTTGCCCCACCCTAGCTACGCCACTGTAATTAACAGTCCGCAAAATCATACATGTCACAAAATTAATCTGGACTTTCAGGAAAAACGGATCATGCTCAGCTCTCTCTGTGATGTTTAAGTACAATAACATAAAGCTATATGTTTACGTTTTGCAGATCTGAATCGTTTCATTGCGATTATCCAAAAGATATTTATCAAATTGCTGTGAAAGGTTTTTGAGTTTTTACTATTAGAACAATTGTATTTCTCTTTGTATTATTATAGGTGTCGTCAGAAATGTAACGTCACCGTCTATGAATATCTGCAACATTCAGTTAAGAGGCAACTTCCACTAACGTGTGAATTTAACAAAGTCGAGCAGATGTTCTCAGTATAAGAAGCGCTACGAAGCTAAAAATTTGGACATATGTTAATTATAAAAACAAGTGCTAGGCTGAATATGCTAAGTTTAAAAAATGTATTTAATGTGTTGAAACGCTATATCGAAACCAAGCGGCTTTTGGCGTTTCATAATTGTCGAATGTAGACAAGCATTTTAATGGAGCTGGTGGATGTTAAGAATACTAGTGCCTGAATTCCGCATTAACCAAACTAAATTCATCTTAACAGATGCAGTTAAACAGTAGTATTTAATGGACGCATTACTATCAGTATAGCATTCGAAGTATCTTAACAAGGCTTTAATTATTTTTGTTAGTGTAATTCACATGATGTGTCAAATGGATTACCACTTTTGTTTAACCCTTAATGCTTAGTAGACATTATATTTACATACAGCATTAATTTTTCATTTGTGTGTTTCAACGAACACATTTGTTCAGTGAAGTGTTAGTACAACAAGAAAATTCGGCAGATTTTATTCTGGTTACTCGCAGTGGTTCATGGACAGCATCTTGAGACTGCATTTTAATGTAAAATATGAAGATAATATGAAAGAAAAGTAAACATTCTATCATATGATCATCGTTCTTATATTTCAATACCTCTGTTATAATCTGGAATCTGAAGTTTAATATCAGTTGCTGAGCAGGGTATCTGTCGTATGAATATCGTTATTCTGAAATGCACAGTCATCACAGTTTCCTTATCTGGAATACATAAATCATAATATTCAGTGAAGGTTATCTTGTTATCCCTATATGTTATTATTGTGAGAAAAAGTTGATGTTCTAAAATTTTTTAGGAACTTTCAAAGTAATACAATGATAAATTTTTTTAAAATTAGAAACGGAAGAGTACCAAGGCTTAAATTTGCATTTTTATGTTACTATCTATAAAGTAGAGAAGAGCTTCAAGAGCAGGAGCAAGAGAAAAACACTATGATGTTTCATACTTTGAAAGTACCAATAGAGTATAGGAAAAAAATGAAAATAGTGAAACCGTCTCCTGATATTTCTATTCTTTATCCTGACTTGCTATTCTTCATAAAATGTAAACCACTGTGGATATTAGTTTTAAATAACAGATAATCAGCTGATGTGCAAAAATAAAACAAAATAAATGGATTTTTATTTAAAACTCACAAAAATTTTAGCTGAAAAGAATGATTTAATTGGATAAATGTGATAAAAATCCGCTTAGGCTTAATTACGAGACAGATCTCACAGTATAGTCTACAATCTTTTCTATCGCTCCGTAGAAACGTTTGGAAAGACAATGAACTTTCTAAGCAGGACTTACTGAGAAACTCTTATCCACCTCCCTAGAGCGATTTATGAATATGTAACAGAACTGAAGATTTGTATGCTTATTAGATGACAAAGATTTTGAAATTTTCTTTCTCCCAAACTGCAACAATAGCAGCATCAAAGCGTATTAAAATAAATACTTTACTTGCTAAAAATATAGTAAGTCGAAGGTATTAAATTCAACTCTGATATTATTGAGTCCACTAATGATTTGAAAATCTGTCCTTTTTCAATTTAAAATTCTTACGTTTTCCTCCTAAAACACGCTTTTGCGGACCTTATAGTTAAAACTTAAATGAAAGGTATTATAAACCCAGTACCCTCATCTAAATTATATTTATATTAGAATAGAGACTAATTTATGTATAAAGAAAATATTCGTGCATTTATCACCTATTCTACAATTAAAAAATGGCATTTTCATTTTGCACCAAATTTTGATGCTAGAGCTTTGGGAAGGAACATCACTAAAAAATCCTTTCAAAAGTTTCAATGTGGTGTGAGAAAAAATTCTTTTTATTTAGCAATTAGAAAAATAATTAATATCTATTAACAATGTCAACAATTACTTGCTTCTGGTAAATAACATACGGAGGGTACATAAATGCAAATTTTAGGAAGAGATGTAAAAGATATATGATATTAATGAGAAAATGTTTTGAAGTGTTTTTCAGTTGTATAGCTTCCTAATCAATGACAAGCATGAAAAAAGAAATTATTGAAGAGGTATGAGATATATTCATAACAATTGAATGAGAGTCTGCAATTGGCGAACTAGTAAAAGAATCTTGAAATAGTTAATGTATTTCTAAATCAAATAAAAAATATTTGCTAATGACACGAAAGGGGGCGTTTGGTAAAAGTGTAGTTCAATATTAAAGACTTCTTAGAAAAATGCTGTACTATTTCTAAAATATACTAGAATAAAATAACTGAGTTTCATTTTAGCATTTTGTGTGTACAAATAATTCCTACTTTTCTTAACTTTCTAATTCTTAAACGTTCGACTGCATAAAGCTACTTATGCATTATAAATCCTCAGGAATTTAAAAAAGAAAAATTTTACTTTTTTCTGCACTGGGTATAAAATACCAGTAATC